AGTGGCCACTCCTGGCCACCGCAGCCTTGACCTGCTGGGCTCCGGCGATCCTCTGCCTCAGCCTTCCAAGTAGCTGGAGCTACAGGCGCGCGCTACCATGCCCGGCTAATTTTTTTGATTTATTGTAGAGATGAGGTCTCACCAAGTTGCCCAGGTGGGTCTCGAACCCACAGGCTCAGGCAATTCACTCACCTCGACCTCCCAAGGTGCAGGATTACTGACTGAGCCACCGAGCCCGGCATCTGATTTTTTGGGGGGAATATATTTTTAGTAGTAGTTAAAAAGTGCAGGGTATTAATATTTTTAATATTTTGATACATATTTCCAGATATATTTTTAATACATTACTTCTCTGGTTTCTCATTGTATAATTACTGAGCTCCCTTTATGTGTCAGGCAGTGTTGTAGGCACTAGAGATATAACTGGACCGAAAAAGCACAGGTATACTGGATACGAGAATATGCCTTCCCTGTAGCAGCATCAAACATTGAACATTGTTGACTTTTAAATCTTTGTTGTTTAGATAAATGAAAAATAAGTATCTTCTGTTAGTTTACTGTTCACAGTTTTCAGTTCAGAACGTAATCAAATGATCTTGTTTTCTTTAGATTATGCCAAGGACTTGAATGGATGATGTCACGACTTAAAATTAGATGATCTCTACTGACCTCTTCTCATAGACTTTGTAGAAATGAAGTTCTGGACTTCACCTGAAGGCTGCAAAAATTAATGGTTTAGATATATTTATAATAAACTGATTTAAACTTTTTCTATAAGAAGAAAACTTAAGACCACTTATTTGAAAACAAAGATGAAGTGTCACCTTCCAATTTTTTTTCTCATTAGTTTTTTCCAAAGTAAGTTATTAAAACTGTGATTGACATTTTTCTCACAACATATCCTCTCAGGACATTGTGTAGCCTGTGGTAAGTACAAAGGGAGAGGAAGACATCTTGAACTTTAAGAGCTTTATTGTCAGCATAATCCTCCCTAGTTGAATGTTCTCTTTTGTTCCATTAAGTCAGAATACAAATCAGCACAAATACTCAGTTTCCAATGTTTTACAATGTAATATTACTTATGAAAAGTATTTTACATAAGATTGTGTATGTATTGTGTATATACCTCAAGTTCAAGCTAATGGCTTTGATTTATGTTCAAAAGAAAAGCAAATACCCTTAGTTATAATCATAATGAGATAAGTGTTGGCATTGATGTTAGTGCCAATTTGTACTTTTCCCATATGTTTTCTGTATTGTACTAACCAACCCCCCAAATCAATGAGCTGCTCTTAAAAAAAGAAAAAAGAAAAAATATGATATTGTGTACTATTTTTTTTGTTGACCAATCACACACATGGAAATATGTAATTTAGCTGAACAGAGTCAAATACTCTGCTTAGTATTACTAATGGGCAGAATTGCATAATGAACAATTACCAGATTATTTCTTTTATTGGTTCTTATGGCATCTAAATTACTAACTTATTAAAATCCATTAATCAGTCAATTGTAAGTTGTGATTAAAATTATCAAGTGAATTCTTTGAATTCTCAACATTACTTGGAAATTGTTGTGTGAAACATGTCTACCCAGAAATGTAATGTTCTATAAATGTTATTAATAATTTATGGTCTTTTAAAGTATTAAATTATATGTCAACCAGTTAAAGTGAATTTGAGAGTAAAAGTAAGACATATTGCCGGGCTCGGTGGCTCAGCCTGTAATCCCGCACCTTTGGGAGGTTGAGGTGAGTGGATTGCCTGAGCCCACGGGTTCGAGACCCGCCTGGGCAACTTGGCGAGCCCTCATCTCTACAATAAATCAAAAATTAGCCAGGCATGGTAGCGCGCGCCTGTAGTTCCAACCCCTTGGAAGGCTGAGACGGAAGGATTGCCGGAGTCCAGCAGGTCGAGGCTGTGGTGGCCAGGAGCGGCCACTGCACTCCAGTCTGGGCGACAGAGTGAGACTCCATCTCAAAAAAAAAAAAAAAAAAAAAGTAAGACATATTTTCCAAGCAACATCAGTAGTTTCTTAATTTGCAAATTTCTTATTTCAGAACTTGGAATACTTTGAATTTTCTTGTTTCTATACATTTTCTTGTATCTTTTGATACATAAATGTATTATTTGGCAATTATAAAATTCAAAGGTTTTTTAAATCCTTTTAAGAATTTGATTTGAAAATTGACTGACACAGTGTGTTATTTTGTCAGTATCTGAACTTTGAAGGTATTCCTGTCACATCTGTAAACAAACTTATCCTAAAAGTGTTAAAACGTATTATTGGATACTCTGTATAGCTTTCATGTCCTAAAAATGTAAAGGTTAATCCAAACTAGCATGTTTTAGAATATTCAAGAAAAAATATTACTTTTAATACCAGCCTTTTAAATTTCATGAAGATTTTGATGAGGAATAATAGTGCATACTATAAGACTTGACAAAACTTTGAAAGTTTCTTTCCATAAAATTCTCAATATCTGAGTCCAAGTCAGACATGGGAAATCAGTATTCAACATTGGAATTTTTTGTGTTTATATTCATAATGTTCAAAATGCAAGCATAACATTTAATATTTGTTCACATGCTTTTACAAAAGTAAATGCTGAATTAACCAATTTTTATTCACTATGTTCTTATTTTTTCAGATCACTGCAAGGAATTACTTGTCTATTAAAAAATCTCCTTAACCCAAATCTGTTTTATAGTTCCATCAGAAAAATATTCTGTTACATAGCCCAGAAAATTCACACCTTTTGTCCTTTTAATTTTTTAAATTTGAATAATCATGTGCTTAATCCTTTGGGTTGCTGTCATATCAGTTTAACACAATAACAGCATATTCACTTGTCATCAAGGTGTTGGCCAAAATTTATTCTTAATTGGATGTTTAAAGCATTGTTATAGTTGTTGTAGTTGAGTTGGTATAGTAGATTAATGAGATTACATCATGAGAATACATGAAATCTTATACCACATTTACAAAACATGATTTTGTTTTCTACCCTTCTTGACTAAGCATTAAAAATAAGGTGACATTTGTGTATTTGTAAATAAAATCAAATTACAGTTGGAAAAAAAATTTTAATTTATATATGAAAATATCAAAATCATTTTAACAGTATTACTCTCAAATAACATGGAGAGCCTCGTAAAAAGTCATATTGGCGATTTATATGTAATTTAAGTGGAATTAAGCAAGGAGCAAGGCTTTTGGATTTTTAATATGCTGCTTTTGAGGTAAAAACAAATATCTCATTTACAGTCATTGTGCTCAGCTTTGAGAAGAACAGAGATTCATACTTCTCTACACATGACTGGATTTAAATATCCTAGTTTTGATACTAATTTTGAAAATCATGTAACTTTTTTTGATAAGTAACCATATACATTTAAATGCTATATGCATTTAAATATGTTTAATTTTGTCAATAGCATTTGTAAAGTATAACTTATGCATTATATAGAAAGTTCTTGTTTGAAATTTTCAGTTTTCTTCCCAGCACATCTTAGTCCTCATGATTGGCAAAGAATACAATGAAGGAAGGTGGGTTGGGAGTTTCTGGGAGTGGGTAGAGATTCATTTCCTTATATGACATTTTGCCTTAAGAATAAAAAAGTGGCCAGGCTCGGTGATTCAATAATTCCACCACTTTAGGAGGCCGAGGCAAGTGGAATGCCTGAGCCCATGGGTTCAAGACCAGCCCAGACAACTTGGCGAGACCTCGTCTCTACAATAAATCAAAAATTAACTGGGCGAGGTAGCGCTCACCTGCAGTTCCAGCTACTTGAAAGGCTGAGGCGGAAGGATCGCCAGAGCCCAGCAGGTCGACGCTGGGTTGTCCGTTAGCGTGCCACTGTACTCCAGCCTGGGTGACAGAGTGAGACTCCAACTCAAAAAAAAAGAATTAAAAAGTGCTTTAGCATTACTGGCTGGCATTTGTAATACAGGTAGAAAAAGCGATTTTAGAGTTGTGGCATGAAATCAAGGGAAGAGGAGTTCCTGTTTTTTGGCCTTTAGAAGTGCCTAGTAAGTAGTTACACGGGATCACAGAGAAGTGCATGGAGCTTGAGGAAAGCCATGAAGTCCTTGAGAGGTTCTTTTCGTTTTTGTCTCAGTATATAATATGAAGGTGCCTAGAAAGGGGACTCCACTGTCCCCTCTCTGATAGGCATTTTACATTTCTTGCTGTAAGTACAGCAACCACATACAGTACAGACGACCTCAAAAGCTGTTTATATTCGTGTAAATAGAAAAACTGTAGACACCTTTCTTGTTTTCTCTGCGGACATTATGTGTAGAATGCTTTGCTGTGTATGTAGGCAGTAGCACCACATCATAGGTTATCTGCAAACTCTGGGGTCATCTCTCAGTTGCCCCATTGTATTCTGGCATCATTTCCTTTTTCAGGGCTGGACAGAGACAAGGTTTCTTCACATTACTTAACTTTGACCCCTCCCACTCTCCAAATATAATCTGGAACTTTTTGTTTCAGGATCAGCTTTCCCATAGCTCAGCTATCTTTACTCTCCTGTATCTTCATTTACCATTGATGAAGATCTATTACCCCAGTCCTGGAGGTAATCTAAACTTTGCCTATAAATCAAGGTTCCCCAAATCACTGGTTTCTAAGCAGCTTCCCTACTTCCTTGCTATCTTCTCACAGGTGGCTTGATTTACTGATTTGGAATTTGCTCATTAGAGAGCATTGTCAGACTCATTGAGTCCATCGAAAGACCAGCTTGCAGTGCATACAGTATATAGGAGTCAATGGTATTAATAGAATTCTTTAAATTATACTGTCTTTAATATTTTAATGCTTCTTAATTTAACTTCATTTGCTGAGAAGTAGATTCAGAAAGGTAAGAAATACCTAGACTCTGCTAGCTCCTTGAGCTACTAGTTAGGCATGGAGTGGATTAAGTTATATGTGTCTTCCCATTGCCAAGAACAGTTACTTTTTGGAGAATACCATTTCAAACAGCTTGAGTTGGAAAAAGATGCCAAACCCAATTTATATGTGGTGTTTAACCTGCGGACATCCTTAAAACTATTACCCACTTTCCCATTTTTTTTTCCTCATGATGTCTAAAGGAATTCATAATGTGAAGCCTATTTTTACATAATAAACCTGTTGAAAAGGGCTTTAGAAGACACCAGAGTAATCAACCATCATGTGTTGAAATATAGATGTAGATATAATAGAGAAAATATATCTTTAAAGCGCCACTTACATAAAAATAAAACTCTCATCATGCTCCCTCAAAGAATATGCAATAGATTATTAATAAAGGGAAAAAAGGCAGAATTTAGAATTTTAGGTGACACAAAGTGCTTCTATTTAACCCTAAAATCCTGTCGAATTGTGAAGAAGTGTAACAGGATACAGTTGGATTAGTTATGCAGTATTTCTTATCAATTGTCTAGCCCTTGTGTGTTCTAACATCTAAAGTTTAAATCTTTATGGTATTGCCTGCTAGGTATGCTGTTCTCTGGCAGAAAATTCCCATAGTCTGTACTCAAGAAGTGCCTGAAAATTGATTTGTGTTGATTTTTTAAGTCCATCTAACAAATTGTATATGTTTTTAATGATATTATCTTGTGCTTGTCTTACTAATGACACACCTGGAGGATTTCTAAGTCACAATTGTACTTTATTTGCACAAAAAGGCTTGAAATTGAAGATACCCAACTAACCCTCAGCAAACCATAGTGTAATGAAGCATGAACAAAACTAGTTTTTTTCTATTTTCCTAATACAATTATGTCATGACCCTGGTATTAGTTAATGCAGAGACTAGAAAATTGAACTGAAATCTTTTACTGTTTTTTAAAACAGATTTAACCGAAAATTACACTGTATGTTTGAAATTCTTAGTAAAATTTGTTGCTTGCATAAGAGCCTCTTGATTCTCATAGCTAGTTAGTAATTGTGTGTCATATCATTTAGATATTCAGTCATTTATTTCATTTGTGTTATGTATGTGCCCAAATTCCTCCTCTTTGTTTAGATTCTACTTGCAAACCAAAATATTTGATAGAATCTTAATGCATTTATCACATATTGTTCAAATTTTTTTTAAACTGACTATAGAGTATGACTATAAAGTCTGGGGAAAGATAGTATTTTCAGTTATGTACAATTACATTGTGTTCATATTATAAACCATCGTGCATGGAAATTGAGGTGTGTATATGATTTTTAAGTTACTGTAATATGTACTGTTGCCCTAAACTTCTTCCATTGGTGATATACAGAGTTTTTCATTATTTTTGCTTGAAACTAGTCCTTTAGATTGGAGTAGCCTTTTCTTATATCCCTGTATGGCTCCATGAGATGAGGCGATACCTGCAAAGCACTTTTAAAGATATTTTTTAGGTTAATGTCCAAGATACAGCATTAAATAGGCAGCTATGTCTAATGAGGGGCTCCTTTGGTTGCTAGAGATAAGAAAAATCTATACTAATTTTAATTTGTGCTTAAGATACATGTTACTAAATCATATTGATTTTAAATATGATAAATTCTTTTTTGTAG